GGGTTTAGGGTTTTGGGTTTTGTGCTCCTCACTGGAAAGCTCCATGGGTGGCTCCCAGAATTAGGGTCCCATGTTGCTAACCCTAAATACTAGCTGCCGTAATAGAATCTATGAGACAAAGGGGCCCTCTAATTTCACAACAAGCTGAAAATCCTAAACCCTAAACCTAACCCATGTTTTTGAAAAGAACCTATATAGGGATTACCCAGACTGAGAACAACCAATGTGGTAGGAGACTAGGCAGGAGGATGGTAGCCAGGACACTCCCACGGAGTGCAATGCCCGGGTTTAGGGTTTTAGTGGTTTGGGGGTTTAGGAGTTTAAGGGCTTATGGTTTAGAGATATTCCTTAAATCGCTCCAGGAATCTTTTACTGGGCTGCTGCTAAGGAACTTCGAAATTAAGTTGCCGAATAAAGAAACCCTGTTATTTACCATACGCCCTGAACCCTAGGCTTATGGTAACTTAGTTTAAGTTGTTTAACAGCATCCCAGTCCACGGCCTGGGCATCAAATCGAGGTGTAATCCCTTGCCCCTAATATTCAACCCCCCACGCCCCTAACATTAACTATTCCGAATATATTAGAATATACCACACTGAACCCTAAACCCTAAACCCTAAATTGATGATGATTTTTTTGGGGGGGGTGTAATTTTGGGGGGAGGGGATCATTGAGCTGCTGTGGAGACAATACAGTGGTACTGGGCTAGGGCTGGTTTGGGGGGTCACAAGAATCAGGACAGAATAGTCCCCCTTAAGTAGATAGAATATGGGGTATATGGGGATCTTGTTATAATACACCCAAAGCCATATTCTATCTATTTAAGGGGGACTGTAACTGAAGGACAGCAGTCTAAGATTGCAGGAATTTGTTATTTGCAGAATTGTGGTCTACTACACGCCACAAAAGCCTGCAGGTATTCTGTATTCCGCTGCGCCCGACTCCCTGGCAATGAATCGGTGGGTTTGTCCGCTGACAGTCGATCTACCTCTCGTGGTTTTCTTCTTGTTCTTCTTCTTCGGCCACACCCTCACACGAGACTAGCCGATTTAGGGGTCTTCATGGTTCAGGTTGGGAAACCTTAGATCACATGTGTATATATGTATATGCACAGATAGTCGACATAGTCATTGTGAATTGCTGTCCATGATATGCGTCTGGAGGCTTTCGAAGTTCATAGCAACCGAACTAGGTCCCACCTACCGTTTTGGCCAATCGCGCTACTACCGATGGGAGAATAGAACCTCCCTTTTGTTTATGTTGGATCATCTCCCTTTTGTTTATGTTGGATCCTGACTAATGTATTGACACTCCTTTCCAAAGCGAAAGAGTGCCGTTGCCATGGTGCATTCGCTTCTACATAGTGATTTTCCAGGTTTGCAGGGTTTTTGTGTAATTTTGAGATGTATTTGCCTATCATGGTGAATTTACCCAGGCTCCTCGCAGGGTTATGCAAACGGAAAAACTTGAACAATCCTATCCATATCCTAGCGATTTTATGCCCAGTGTTGATACGATAGTAGAAGCATAGCCCTGTCTAGCATTCATAAACGCAATTCGTGTTTATAAACGCAGTCGTTGGGGCAGGACTCTCCGCCCCCTGCCTCGCCTCCCTCCACTCCCTCCCTCCAACAAGAAAAGAATTCCTCGTTGCCACCGGGCGTGAGGCTGTCGACCTATAATTTCTCATGATACCTAATCATGCTGACAAGGCGCGAAAAGGCGTTCATATCTACAATATAAGGAACCCTAATCTTTGTCTAGGCTTAATGACTTTTCATTTGGTAACGAAACATTCTTGAGGGAAGGTACATATCATGATACGCGATACCCAATCAGGAAACCTTCTCCATATGAAGATACGGCTCAAGCTCCAGTTGATTATTTCTGGGATCGGAAGAGCACCTGCAAGGAACTAGAGCTTCCACTTCTCTCAAGTCAATTGTATATCCCTTGTATCTTGAGGAGAAATAGTTCCATTCCGTTCGTAGGAGCAGAGGTTTGGTTCCATCGGTGGCATATTTAGGGAGTTGTTGGTTGGCTTGGGCTTGACGTAATTGTTGCGCTCAAAATTTTTTTTGAAAGAAAATAACCCTAGGGAATCTCATGCGCTACAACGTGAGTGAAGGGTATTTTTGGTATGCTTCTTCTCTATAGTCTTAGTATCCAAAAATGCCTTTCATCGGGAAGTTAGTCTTTTATTGCGCAAGAATCAACATCATCTCACCTTGTTATTCACAAATAAATCCTTTTCTACACACGTTGCAAAGTCTAAGCAGAAATTAGTAAATCCCAGGTTCCTTTTCGCCTAATTTTCTATATATGCCCCTTTAAAGGTACCCATAATTTTGGGAAACCCTTAAACCCCATATAGCCTCTACGTAACCTAACTTTCTATATATAAATGTACAACTGACCTCTCCAGTCTTGAGATCTTTTTACCCCTCCATAACGCGGTTTAGGGTTTAGGGTTTAGTAAATGTCTCTCAAATTCCCGCAGAAATTAGCAACTATTCAATACATTATATAATTATGTCTAGTCGAGACCATGAAAATATTCGTAATGGGGGGGTTTGTATAGAAAAAGGAAGCCGAAGACTTGAGAATTTATGTTTAGATTTACCGCATATTTCTTACGGAAATTGCACAAGTACATTGAGTATGTATTCGGGATCATAGCAGTCAGGCTTGATGCATGTGCTAAGGGCGTTAAATGCATGTAGTTCTGTAGGTGTGTGTGTGTGTATATATATATATATTATATACACCTGTAGAGTCCAATTATGAAAGGGTTATGCTGACTATATAAGGTTTTGAGACGGATTTTGACAGGATTCATGGGGGTTAACCGTTAACCCTATGAATCCGAAATACCTGCATAACCAGATTGACAAGCTGAGGTCAATTTTTGAAGCTAGCCTCAAGAGTTTTGGGATTTAATTCCCTTTTGAGGAATTAAACTAACTGCATTTGAACAGGTTTTAGACATGGAGTGAAGAAGACAGTACACCAACACAACAAAAATGCATGAACTGCACTCAGAAGTTAGAAGTCGGTGCCAATTATAGTGTTACCTTACATACTCTTACATGTGATATCTCTGGAGTGGGGGGGGGTATGTTGGCAAAGTAAGCCTCGCATACACGAATTGTTTAGGGTTTAGGGTTCGGGGCCCTCTACTTATAAACACGGATGTGTTTATAAACGCTAGACATGGTTTATCTCTTAGAATACCTAGAATCCTATATGCATAATACTAGGACTTGCTATGGAGCCTGCGTAAATTGAGCATATGCATAAGCAAATACATAGCAAAACTATATGAAAACCTTACAAAAACCTGAAAATCACGATATGAAAAAAAAATAGGCCTCATGACAAACCCTTCTCAAATGAAAACGTTCCCTATTCAAGACTTTCAAACAAATTTGGAGCTTGGTTTAGAATGGTTTAGATATATGTACAATTGGAGTATGCGGGTTAGAACAAGATTCAGACGGGTTTACTGTTTGGGTTTAGAGCTTCGGTTTCAGACGTGTTTCGGACCTTACCTAGATCCCTATACCTAGATCCCTATACCATTCTTGGCTAGGATATATAACTCTTTGTCCAGTATCTGCTATATACAAGATTAGATACCATACAAAAGGGGTAATTTGGGTATAGACGTCTAGGTTAGGAGCACCCACACCCGTAATAGTTGTATAAAGCATAGGAATGTAGAAGAACCCGAATATATTCCTTATTATCGTTTATAGTCACTATTACAGAGTGGGGGGGGGGGTCCACCTGAGGTCTAGGTAGTGCATAACGTCAGCAGGTTAGGTGAAACCTACCCGTGGCTTAGAATTGAAATTTGCAATTAGCCAACCTGCAAGCTATAGAAAAAACGCATAGGGCTTAGGGTGTAGGGCAACTTTGCACAAGTCAGACCTGGAATCTTAACCCCTAAACCCTTGACCCCATACTTAACTGGGGGATGTTAACTAGGTACCCCAGTAGTACCTTTTGCCCTTTTTATTTGGGGGCCTCCTTATTAAAGCTGAATAGTAGGAAAAAGGGTACCCTTATTATTAAGGGGTTACTGGGTGCACAATTTTTATAAGGAGAGGCTCCTCACACTCATCGGAATTCGACATTATACTGACAATCCCCGCCCCGCAGAAAAGCCTTGCTGGAAAGCTGCAGATCTTTGGTAGTTTCCCAAAACAGGGGGACCCTAATATAGACCGCCAAAAATTACAATCCTTACTATAGGGACCCCAAAAAGGTACCCCTAATTTAGGGAAACCCCCATTTGTGTTCGTTTCATTGCCATCCTTACCCTGATAATCTGAACCTTGTGGCGCTTGGTGACCTTAGTACCCCTAACCCAGCAACCCTATCCTTTTGAATCCTGCACGTGGTTTATGGGTTTAAAGCTAAAAGATCCATACAGCAGCAAACCCTAAACCCTAAACCTTAAGATCGATGCTACAGCTGCAATCCAGGAGAAGTCTGGACGCCGTCTGTCTGGTTTGACAAGGCCCTAGGTATCGGAAAACCCTGGGGCTTAGGGTTGAGGGCTTAGGTACCCTAAGCCCTAAACCCTAAACCAGTTCCCCAGCTGAAATCCATCCAGATGACTTGGAGGCGCCAAACAAAGCAATCCTGCAAACTGTATGCAAGGCGCCCTCAAATCATAGCGGCCCTTTCCTGCGGATGAATGCAGGGATCCATGAACCTTGTGGCTGCTTGTAGGAAATAATCCCAAGTTATGGCGGAACCTACCAGTACATGGGAAGATAGAGAGGCATCTCCGGCTTGAACTGTCATAGGTTTCCACAAACAGGCCCCCAAATATGCCTAATGTGTCATAATATGTTCCAATCCTTATAGTAGGTATCCCCCGAAACTGCTCAGTTTATGGAAGCCCTGATTCCTGTACACCACTTGACAATCCCAGTTGTCAGTCAACTTTCCCTTCGATTTTCCATTCTTAGGGTAATATCGTTCTGTACTTACACCCTAAACCCTACACCTTGAGAACTCTAAAACCTGAACCTTAAACCCCAAGCCCTAAACCCTAAACCCCATGCCCGTTCCATGACTCCTTCGTGCCCCGGGCACGTGCGAGGCCTGCATAAACCAGGCCGAGTCAGAGAAAAAGAAGGAAGCCATTGGATCCCTCCCAGATTCTGGATCAATGTTTGGTAAATTGTGGGTTCAAGGTTTAGGGTTTGGGGTTTAGGGTTTAGGGTGGAGGGTTTAGGGTTTTAGGGTTTAGGGTTTAGGCTTCAGGGTTTAGGGTTTAGGGTGTGGATCTAGGGCTCCCATCATTCTTGCAAATACCGCGATTAGAGGTTTATGGGCTTTGGGGTTCTGCCTACCCTCTCCGCAGTTAAAATTGCAGCCTATGTAGCCCCCCTTCTACTGGGTTGCTGTTAAGGAACTTAATTTAGATTACCAGAATGTGGGTGTATAGGGTTTAGGGATTAAGTTGCCAAAGTATGGGCAGCTAGTAAACAAAAGGGTTTCGTTATTATTAATTACTGGTCCAGTTTAAGTGCTTCATCAACAGCCACCCGGGCTTGGACCCTAAACCCTCAACCCTAAGCAGAAGAATCCAAATCTCGTTCCTGCAGCCATGTGGTGCTACATGTCAATCTCCATAGGGATCCAAAGCAACAAGAAACAGGCGACGCTCCAACAATTGGGGTTTAGGGTTTAGAGTTTAGGTTTCTTGTCCCTGAGCTCAACAATCCTTGAGGATTTTCTAAACTCTACGCTGCACTGGAACATACTTTGGCCCCTGTGAGCAACAATAGTCAATTCCTCATCCTAGCCCTAAGTTTTTGGGTTCAGGGTTTAGGGTTTTGGGTTTAGGGTTTAGGCCCTTTACATGAACCGTGTTTGTATCCCTAAGGGTGAAAGTACCTAATAATCACATGAGCTATAGTCTAAACTCCTTAAAGGGGGTTATATAGGGATTATATAGGGGACTACTATGGGGGCTATTCAGGGGGATACTAGGAGTTTAGACTATAGCTCACATGAGCTACTGTCAATATTAAGTTTACCAAGAGACCGGTAAGGGTGGACATAAGGGTCCCTCTTGTAGCTTCTTAGAATTCCGAATATATTCCCGAATAAGGAACCCA